TTTTCTTCAGAAATTGGGGATGCTAAATTACATTTTTTGGGGGGAAGGGATTTGGGGCTTTTAGGACGTATTAATTACCTGCTAAATGTTTTAATTAGTTTAAAAGACTATTATGGTAATAGGCCTAATTTACCAGTGCACAAATTCCATTAGTTTAAACCCAGGAGACGTTAAACCACATGGAATTGACGATATTCACAATGAGAGATAGCTATATAATATTTATCTATTGCCTATTTAAATTTCTGTATGCACAAGAGCACGTTGAGTATTTAAAATTAGATGCGTGATGGCAAAAGCGACACCTCAACGTCTAAGTTGATAAGAGAGAATTAAAGTGGAGCGTGATATTGAAGCCTCGCATTTTGAATGACTTGAATTTCAAAGTATCGTATTTTGAAATGACGTCTTACCATATGCACATGTAGCACTATTATAGCAAAACTTCTCTGACATTTTAGAGGAATTTTTTGAACTTGAGCAATTTTAGAATTGAAAAACATTTCTATATAAATTTGAAGCGATTTGGTTGCGTTCAAGTCTCAAAGAAGTACTAACTAACCAAAATTAACTTTTTTATGTAATAAAGCAGCTCAAATTTGATTTGTGTTATGGATAATTGAAACTTACGTTAAGTATGCTTTTTAATTTATAGTAACACAAAATATATCTAATTTCTTTATATATCAATTTGCATATAATTTAAAGATTCTTTTTGAATGGTCAATATGACATTTTTTTTCCTTAATTTTTATTTGTGATTACTTTTTATTTGATAATGCTCAATAATATATTTTAGAAAAGTAACTATGGTATTTCATATATTAATTTGTCATATTTTAGTGCCCCAATACAATTTATAGTAAACATATCGCGACTCGATAATTTAAATTAAAATATTTAATATTATAGTTCTTATATAATTAATAAATAATATTTGTCACATAATTACGTAGCAAGTACAATTTAATATAATTTTTCTAATTATGCTACTAAACTGTCAATTTAATATGCACATTTTTTAGTTGACATCTAGTGACTTTTATCTATTAAATAATAATAGTTTATCTAAATTTTTTATCGGACAAATAATAATAATATTTGTTGACATATTTAATTGTTCAAAACTTTTCTATTAAATAATAATAATTTATATGGTTTTTTTTTTATGAATTGAAATTTCTTGAATAAAATAACTTTAAAAATACCAATGAGCTTAATCCAAATTAATGAATAAATAATTATGAGCTAATAAGCATTCAAAGGATTTCTCCCCCAAAAATCGAAAAATTCCCCATGTTTTCTTTCTTTCCAGAGCAAGAAAACTTACTACCAACTAGCCGTAGGTTGCTAACATTTCTTATTATTCAATATCGAATAAAATATTAAACTGTATTACTTCATTTTAATTTTGTATGATGAAATTCAAAATATTAGTCCTAAAAAAATAATAATAAAACCATGTCACTTACTCAACTCAAGCATAAAACTAATATATAAAATATATATAAAATAGCTCGATATATAAGGAGATTATCCATTGAAAATAAACGAGGAAAAAAGTTATACAATAATTTGAAATTATGCAAAATACAATAAAAAAAAACATTTAAAAAAAATTGAGAGAAGTGATAAAATCATGTGAAGTCGCTTGAAAGATTAGTATCATAAAAGGCATACCAACTTTTGCCAAACAAAGAAAGCAAAAATTCTCCATTCTTGTTTGCATATGATTTTAGATACTTTTGGTACCCTTATTCTCGAGGCATCTCCTTAAACCTTGCCGTGTCATTGAGGGTATGCCTCCTCTTTTTAGGGCAGATTATATTTTTTTTCTTTCTATCCATCAACAAATTTTTATTTACATTTTTCTACTTTTGCAATATAATTACACACATGAGCACGATTTTCATTGGCGACAATATACGACTCACTTACTAACCAATTGATAAGCAACTTAATTCGTATGATATATGTAGGAGGCCTTCGTATTACATGTATCATGTGTTATTCGATCCTTCATGAACTTTGATCTCATCTCTAAATACTTTAAAATTATACATTAGTATTTAACTACGAAAATATTAAAAATGTGTGTCTATTGTTACACCTAAAATTCAAAATTGTGGATAAGGAGATGTGGTCCAAAAGATGGATATTGGTCTTGGATTAAGACCAATATCGGTCCAACCTCCATATGTTCCCCTCCCAAGAAGTCTAACTAAATATTGAATAATTTCATTTTTATTTAGAATTTGAGAAATGTTAAATGTACCCATGGTTTAAAGAAAATACAGGTGACAAGATCTCACATTATCTTTGACTAAAAAATACAGTTGACTCAGTTTTTAAAATGCTACCTTAAAGGTTGAACCTCAACCTTAAGGGTCCCCACCGCGCCGCCCTTGGAGTATCGTGAGAGAGGTTAATCGCGAGATGTGTCCCAATAGGTCAGGTAACAAGAGTTATATGTACACTGGTGCCCACAAAAAGTCTCAATCCATATTTCAGGAATCGAACTATCACATTGCAAATGTCAACAAGGTTGAGTATATTTCATCCTTATCCTTTGCACCACTAGGATATATCTCGAGGGGTCTTTAAAATGCTACCTTGTCATCATTCGTGAAGATGTATGGACAAATAGCTTTATTGTTAGGATATATATATTTTTTGTTCTTATCATATGTTATATTATAATATTTAATAAGGGAATTTAAAATAAAAGGTATCGTATTTACATTTATTTTGAGCCATGTGAACAGGTCCGTACGTCAAAATCACCAATATTACAAGCAACCTATCTGAAAACGTGTTAAAGCGATACAGTATTAATTAAAGGGAGAAAAAGAAATGGGCTAAAGTCGCTAAAGTAAACATCACGTTGCTTTCTATTATCCTTATTTTATTCTCTCTACCTTTTTTTAGAAAAATGCTAGTGGTACATAATAGAATGTACCTAAGGGTGTACATCCCCCTCACATGGGGTGTGGGGTCCACTCGAATAAATGTTTTTTATTCGAGTGGATCCCACACTCCATGTGAGGGGGGTGTACACGCTTAGGTACACCCCTGTGTACCACTAGCACCACCGCTTTTTTTATTGGGCACTTAATTAAGAGTTCTCCTTTTCAAAATAATTTTAAAAATTGACCTTATAACTTCACCAACTTTAGATAAGATGGTCCCCTCAAGGGTAGGGATTGGCCAATTTTTTACCTTTTTTTTTTTCAATATATGTAATCTTTAAGTGACATTAATATTAAATAATTTATTCATTGTTTTTTAAATTGGAAAATGCTTTTTTTTTTTTTTTTACATTTCGTACAGATGGGGAAACTCAAAATCCATTTAAAATACTCACTATTTTAATAAATGTTTGGCTATAAAAGTAATAAACACAATGATTATGATGCGAAAAAAATACACGGAAAGCCAAGTATTTTGAATATCCAAATGTTTCTGGTTTCAATTTCCAAAGGATACTCTTATTTACATTAAATAAATAAAAAAAGCTGAGACAGAGCGTCTTTTGGTGCAAGTTAACAATAATTATCTACTAATTTATTCCTTATGCCGAAGGCTGACTTCACTGGACAAACTGCGTTTCAATTCAGAGATGAATTCATATTTACCATCTAATGGTTAGGAAAAATCAATAATTGCACATTTGGGTGTTTAATACCAACATCACCATTATATGTTTAATTAAGTCCATGTTTGGGCTCCACCACTGACAAAACACTCCACCCAAAAACACAACTTTGGTTAATTTTTCCAAGCACGACTTATCAAAATCCCAAATTAGATTGTTCTCCATCTCTACACACGGTAAATCCGATCAAAATTCTAAGTTTGTCGTGGCATAGTTGGTAAGAAATTTGATTCAAAAGCTTGTTCCTTGATAAAATCGAGTATCTGTAAATTGTTTAGATAGCCAAAACTTGGTGAAATCTTCCATTGAATTGATCATTGGAGAAGTGCAAGAGTGGTAAGATGTCCAATAATTATGGGTAGAATTCGAGTGAACTTGTTATTTTCAATGATTAATTGATTTTGGTTCTGAGATTCTAATAGGTTGTGTTTCTTGCGTATGTAATAACCTGATGAAAAATATATTGATAATTTCGATGTGAAAGTAATAATTTGAATAAAGTTTAGTGAACGATCAAACAAATCATCAAAAGCAAAATTTGATACATCAAAATTCTATAAAGCTGATCTTTACTTGATTATTATTATTATTATTATTATTATTATTGATGATACGAAGTAGTAACAGTTCAACACCCTTACAATAAAAGGAGAAGGGAATGATTAGCCTTCCAGAATAGAGTAGCCTCAACAACCAAAAGGCACACTCAATTCTGATACCCTAAAAGCAAAACTAAAAAACACAACAAAATTTTCATGGTTTATCATCTTCAATTACAGAAGCTAAACCAGTAACCATCTTAACTCCTTTCTGCAAACTCCTTGGCCTAATCTCCACTGGTTTCATCAATGGAGTCATGCCCTTGTCGTTTTCACTCCGACTGTTAGTAAACACATCGTTGCCATCATTGTTAGTCCCATTGCTGTTAGTTTTGTTCAGCGAACATTTCTCCAAGAAAATCAACTCAAATTCACCACAAGAACTTGTTTTCGTAGTAATCAAATCCTTCACTTCCTCACCAATTACTCCCGGAGTGGTTCGGGTGTAAGGAGAGAGCCATTTGGCCTTAACATAATCGGCCTTGCGCCAAGGTGGAAATGGCATGCCCTTCTTCTTCAAACTCTGTTTGGCTGCGTCTGATACAACGTTAATGATCTTCTCGAGGCGATCGGATTTACCTACAAATATGTTAGGCAGTGTCTGGAGAAGTGATCTGTATGCTTTGGTTGATCTTGCAATTTCAAATTCTGAACGAAAATCGATGTCAATTATAAACCTATCCCCTTCAATCATCACGTCCACATATTCATATTCCCCTGTTAAATTTGGAAAAATGGGACAAAATTTAATATGTGCAACAAACAATTCCCAGCAAGAAACAGAACAAATTGTATGGTAAATGGAAAGAGAGCATTACCTGAGGGAAAAGAGGGGGATTTTTCCCAGCGAGATTTGCAGATTGAAGCATTGTATCCAAGAGCAATTAGATTATCGGTGACAATTTTTCTACAAAAACAGTCTTTTCTTTTACTGATCTTGTTTTTCTCGACAATTTTCGCAGCGTCTGCTAACAGATTTCTCTCATAAACACACACACAAGGTACTAAACTCTGCGTATTCAACGGAATATTTTTCAGATAATCCATTATTTGCAAGGAAAAAAAAAAATCAAGAAATCAAATATCTACCTTGACGAGATCAAGTGCATCAGATGAAGGTGAATTTGTTGATTCGCCAAAGCAATTGAATGAGTCGAGTTCCTCATCGGAGCTGTCAGTGCAGTTTTTATTGAAGCATTTGCATCTGTTCCGGCAACACCTGTTGGGTTTCTCGTTGTCCTCGATGAAATTCTGAACCATTTTCGCAAGGCAAACAGAGCTTGGCTCGAATTCTTCAGGACCATACTTGATACATTGATGAGGCTCATCGGCCCCTCCGTTGCCTGCCGCCTTTTCCTGCGTTGATATTCTCAGAACGCTGGAAAACTGCCTCTCGAATAGCCTTTTGAACCTCGATTTTGTCACTGGCTTCACCGGCTCAAATATAGGTGGTTCAGTTAAGAAGTTGAAATCAACTGGTTGAATTTTCATTGGAAAAGGAATTTCTGGAGATCGAAATTCGAAAACCCTATTCTTTTGCAATTATCTCTAGCTTTCAGTTTTCCAAAACCATTTTCCACAGCACATAGTTTTCTGAGTCATCAATGCTTAGTCAAACAGGAAGACTTCAAATTCTAAAATCCAGTCCGATTTCCCTAAATACTTTCTCAACAATTTCAGGAATATTGGCTACTGAATAGCTCGATCATTTCAAAAAACTCAAAGATTGGGCACTCCTAAAGGCATACAGATCAAACAAAATTAGGATGGTTTTATATTTTCGATTAAACACGGGGATTAATAGACTGGGTAAAAACTAACCTATCTCCGAAATTTGAGAGGCTTAAGCAAAAACAGATACCTTTATCTCTCGGATTATTTTGATGATTATAATAATCACTTGCTAGAAAGTGTTTGCAGACAAAGTATGGAATAACTTCTATATTATGCAAACTGAAATTAAAAACCTTCACTTTTGCTGAGGATTTACCAGTACGGCTAAGACACAGAGTGAACGCCTCGCAATCGCAGTATCACGTCATCATACCAGAGATCGGAAAATGATCGAAGAAGGTCGGTATCCCCATTTTCGGCAACAAAAATCTCCGGTGTTCCAGAAAAAATAAACACGCTCACTCTGTGTTCGAAAGAGAGAAGAAGAGCCTTCGCTGCGAAAGGAGCAGGCTGCAGGCTATGGACTTTTTAAAGGACTTTCGTATGGATTGCTGACTGGGACTGAAAATGCCACATGGCATATGACGTGGGGCACCCTAAAATGCCTATCGATGTGTACGTGTCAAACAATTAGGAGGTTATGGTCGAAATTGCAGCCACAAGGCGCCACGTCTCTCTTTGAAGACGCATTTTGGGGTGTTTGCTTGAATTTCCTAAAATAACCTCAATTTTGCCACAAATTACGTTGTTGTTGCACTTGTTGGCCCCCGTGAGACAGAGAACTTTTGCAACCGCCTCACGTTTGTTTCATGGGCCATGAACTGCACCCGAATTTACCAACCCACTAGGTGAATTTTGGTAGAAACTTACCCCTACTTTTTAATTTTTTTTCAAGTTACACTTCAAATTTTGATAATAACATCGATGAATCAGGAACCTCAATTTTTAAACGAGGGCCCCATTTGACATTATGAGATTAAGTGGTTATTTTTGCCTGACTCGCTCTCACTAACAGAAGTTATAGAGCCTCTAGTTTGGAAGCCTTATTCAAAATGTCCATTTTACTTATGTAGCAATTTTTTGCTATATTCCGCAAGCCAAGCATGCATGCATGAACTAACTAAATATTTCTTCTATTCTTCTCTTTGGTGCAATTGGACCATCTTGAGCTTGAACATAGATTTCGACCATGAAGTAAATCACTTTACATACGGGCCAACTAATTGGTAGTGAAGAACTCCAATAAGAAGAAAAAAGTAGGCGTTAAGAGACTTTCCTCTAAGATCATTTTTCAATGCTTCTCCCATTCAGTCAAGAAATGAATAAATAGACATATTACGTTGTTACCAAAAAATAAAAATAAAAATTGAAAGTACTTTATTCTCGTCAGAAGAATTTTTAAAAGAAATTAGGTCAATATGATTCCACTAGAAGCTCTTCTACAAAATAAAAAATAGAAGCTATACTAAATGAAATCTACATAGAGTAATTCATTCTATCTCTATAGTGAATTATTTATGTATGAAAATCACTTTTTATTGAGGTTGAAATGTAATTTGTTTAATTGTAGAAGAATATTGCTATTTGTCAAGGAGTGAAGTGTCATTTAGATGATTTTAGTTAATTTGTCATCTTGAATGCAAGATTTAACACATTTATGATGGTAAATGAAACAAATAGGAACTTACAAAATTTCAATCACATATTTCATCAAATTTTATTAAAATTTATAAGAAATCTGATTTTTATCTAAACAAAAAATGAGCTCAGTGTAAAATTGTTTAGATTTGTTAAAAGAAAAGAATAATTTATCTATATGTTTTAAAAATGGTGAACAAAGTAATTTTTACATTGTACTGTGGTTTGATGAGGGTATTTTGGTCACTCCAGTCATCACAAGGACTAGTACATTGTACTACATTGCATAGGTTTGATCGTATTATGACCGAATGGATCACTTTTGTTTGATAGTAGAGAACTTTTTACTTAAAACCGGATAAAATAAAATTAATCGTGTTCATCAAGCTAATCAACTTGACTCCAGAGTATTCTTTCTAAAGATTCGATGAGATTTTTAAACTTTTCTTTTTCCCTTTTTTATTGCACAGTAAATTTTTATTTTATCTTGTAAAATATATTAATGAATGAAAAATAAATTATATTCTTTTATAAACAATATGTTTTTTAAGTTTATTACGATTATTCAATATTTGAAAATCAATATAATATGTCAGAAAAACTATCATATTAAGCCCATGTTTGATTTCTATTATTCTCTCTTTAAAATAAAAAATATGATCGTTATCCACTACATGAAGTCATCAAATTTAAATTTTTATCTCTTGCGTGAGACCCGTGACAACTATATTTTTCATTTTCATTCTTTCAAAAATGATAAACAAACGGGGCATAAAATAATGTTTTATCGTCTTAAGATTTTCTTAAACAAAAAAAAAAAATGAATCTTGCATTTGAAATCTGAAAAACAGTGACAAACTCATTTTTATTTTCGGTCATCTTTCTCTGTGGTATAATTTTTCGATGATTTTTTAATTATCAAAATAATTTAGAATAATCTTTATTTACTTGTCAAAATTGATATTCCAAACTTATATTAGTTATTCTTACAAACTCTTATCGTTAGGAGAAATGATAATATTGACCGGTATTAAGAAACTATCTCAAGTCCTCGTAAAATTCTATTGTCACATGTCCCTAATGAGGTGATCGGTTGGTGGAGTAAGTGAGCACAGAGGCCTTTGATCACGAGTTCAATTTTCCCTATCAACACCTTTTCGATCGAGCATGTCGCACCGAACTTGCTTAGCGTGATTCACCTGGTTTGCGTGATTTACAAGTTATTGTGTCAATCCGATGGTTTATCTAGCGCGCATCTGAAAGGTAGCGACTGCGGGTTTCCCGTCATTAAAAAAAATAAAATAATAATAATAAAGAAATTCTAATGTCACATATTCTTGGTCTATATTCACGCTTGCACTTAGGTTTTGACTTTTGAATACTAAAGATGGTATATATTCGACTTGTTGTCATATGATAAAGATAGTATTGAGCTCGTTTGAGTCCCATTTTATTGTAAGAGTAATTTTAAAATAGTAGATTGAAGAAAAATACATGAATAATATATATATATACACATGCAATATTGTTTTATTGAAAAATTAATGATTAAAAAAAAAGAGAAAATATATTTTGAAAATAGTGTTGATCAAATGAGGTAATAGTGAAAGTCTTATATGCATATTGACCTTATCAGCGTCCCATCAGCAGCCGCGTGAAGACTATAAATGGCATTATTGATGGGTTTTAGCCCCAAAAAATCAAAAGACTATTTGTCAATTGACACCAAAGACCAATCTAGCCCTTGTTTGAGCTCTATTTCTTAAGTATTTTTTAAATTTATTTTTAACCACACGTTTTATGAAATTCACAATTTCAATCAAAATTTCCATCATATATTTTATAAATATTTATCAAAATTTAGTCCTTGTTTGAGTCTCATTCTTTGAAAAAAAATATTGTTAAAATAGTATTTTGACATAATTTCAACAACACGCTTTTCAATAAAAATAACATTACATGCAAATTCAATTTTTTTAAATATTTTTTTAATCCCACATTTTTCATCAATACACTATTCAAAAATATATTTTCTCCCCCGAAATAAGACTCAAACAAGAGCTTAATTTTTATCCAAATCAAACGGGGCTTAGCGCCCATTGAAATAAGGGTGGTCCGTCTAAAAAGTTCAAAGTAAAAGTATACTGGTATTCAACAATTTTAATAATTTTTTAAAAATATTTATTTGCTAGTTAAAAATAGTCAAAATACAATTTACATAACGTGATTTGATTTGCTATATTTTCTTTGAATCAGTCCAAAATCCAAAAAATTATAAGTTCGTAAAACAAGGGATTCTACTTTTTAAATAACGTTACAAGTAAATGTCATGAATTATAAATCAATAATATATCTTTTTGATAAATTAACTTGTGTTGAGGAAATAAACTTCGACCAATAATTCCATATTAGGTTTCGAGTATTTCTTACCCCAAACCTTTGTATTTTTCCATTTACTGCAAGGTCTCATAAATATATAACTTTTTTCTGAAGTTTTTTGGGTAAAATTTTCTATCATTTCGAAAGTGAAAAAGGATGTTACAGATATTTTCAAATGTAAAAATTGATTGACGGTGAAAGTTTATGCATGTAACAAATTAAAAACAAGCCTTAATGTGCGTGACATCTATAGGTTCTAGGATAATTTACTTTAATGATAGCACTTCAATTGATCGATAGACTTTTAACATAATAATATGATTATTTTTCAAAACATTAGTCACGAGATAAATATATGTTTTTATCGTCATATGAAAATAGTAAATTTCTACTCATTTTTAAATGTAATATTATCGTCTATTTTCAATAAATCACATAAATAAATTAAATCACAAAAATAATACAAAACAAACACACACATGTGAAAAAAAGGGTAAGGATTGGCCATGGCCCTGGCCATCAAGCACGGCTCTGAAAAAAATACAAGGCTGAAGATAAGTTTACAACAACGTAATTTATGATAAGGGTTTTAACCATATTCCTAAAGAAAAAGGTGTTGAGACAACCACTAATACAATGCAATAAATTCATTATCGAAAACACCTTTAACTTTATTTTCTATTTACTAACATCTAAAATATAGTTTAGAACCGGAACATGTTTCGTCTCACGCCTAAAATCTATTTTGATGCCTAAAATTTGTACCCGTTGGCATAATAAAACTATTTGGTTCTTCAATTTATCTAAAACATCGCATATCGAATTTATTAATAATATCCACTCTATCCTTATGCTATACATGACTATGACGTTAAAATAAATATATGTGAGCGTACAGAAGAAATGAAAAATACCTAACTTTTGCTATACACAATTCACAATTTTCTTCCCATGCCATCCCACCCCACGCCACCCCACCCACCCCACACTCGCAACATAAAGGAAAAGTGTTGTGACTTGAAAAATTGAAACATGAGACATCATTCACACATTTTTATGGATATGCTTTTTCACTGCGCGTCTAATTTTCCTGTGTTGCTTTTGGTCATACGTCAATCTAAGCATTTTTTTCTTTGCCGCGTAAAAATGTTGACGCGTTTGTATTCATTAATTGCAGGAAATTAGACTACCTTATACTTTGATTTTGACAATGTATTTGTAAGTTTTGATTTGAAGAGGATATGATTTTATTTACTAGTTCGCATGTCAATAAACCATTTAATAACTTGAACATGTTACATTTGGTTGTTTGTAATTAAAAAATTGTTATTATACGTTTTCAACTGAGGTTAGATGCATAAAACGACATAGGGATTATCTAGAAGGATTTCTATAGGGTAAGTGTGACTATATAATTCCCTAATCACGTCACAAATGAGTTTTCAATGTATGATTGGGCTATGCATAATTAAGTAATT